TTTTTTTTTACCACTAAGCAAGATTCCTGCCTTTAACAAGCAGAGAAAGGAGGGTGTGAAGGAGAAGAAAGACATTGCATATAATAAAACATCCCGTATTTTAATTTTGCAGCCACTGCTTTGCACAGCAGTTTTTTCTCATGCTTTGCTCAGGTTTGTAGTTCCTTTTCCTGTTGATGTGGAAGTGAAATGGCAGTGTAACATCTTGTGGCTTTTCTCTACATGCATGCTCCCCCAGTTTGATTTCTGGAGGTGTGGTGGCACACCCTCACCAATCCCCGACCGTTCAATCACTTCTGGCATCCAGTTTGGCCACAGACTGACTCTCCTTTATGMCTGACAGAAAATCACAAGCCTCCATTCCTTAGAAAAAGAGGGGAAATAAATTCTTCATCCCACAGAGTACCCTGAGGTGAAATACCAGCAGTGATTACAAAATTGCGCTACAAGGATGACRCGTGTTTTAATCCTCACATAAACTCCAAGAGAGAGAACTACCTTCAGATCCACCTCTGCTTTTCAGTATTGGTTTGAGCGTTTTCTAGGCAGGCAAAGCTATTTTTTACCACCGCCCTCAGTSAAGTTTTAATTCCTCAATGAACAGCAAGGGAATCCAAGTGCTGACAGGAGCGGTCTGGCTGATGGTGCTGCTGCAGTTTGAGATGTTACTGTTCCCAGGCGCTGGCTCCTCTTTGCTGGCTGTGCTTGGTGTCACCRCAGCCAAATCAGCAGAAGGGAACATATGCCTGCACCTCAGCTGCTTCCACACAAGGTCCAGCATGAGCCCATCCCCAGTGACAGCTCAAGACGAGACACCAACTTTTCCCCAAAGTAGCTGAGGATCATCCTCCTCTACTGCCTGTTTTGGGAATGGTAATCCAAAGTATGCACCAGTGAATGAGAGATTTCCACTTATCCTATTGGCCGTGCTCTAGTGATGCTCAGCATCCACGAATGGAAATAAAAAAAAAAATCAGAGAAAATTTTGTGCAGCTGACAGTGTGACGTGCACCTGAAATCAATTTAGAAGCAGCAGAGCCTGCCGAGACCACATTCCTCACAAGGAGCACTGCTGAGTCATGGCCTGATACTGAAGCAGCTGAGGTTTCTGAGATATTGTGATCCAAATCCAAGGGCTCAGGGCAGTGTGGCTGTGACAAAGCCCATGGCAGAGAGATGACGTGCAGATCACTCAGATCTGTGAGTTATCTGTGCCTGCATTGCTATGCAGCCCACGTGGGCTCTCCCCAAAAATCCAGATTTTGGATAGCAAGAGAATGGGAGTCAAGAAACAGTCAGCATCACCCCCAGTTACTCTCACCCAGCTCCCTTTCAAATGYCAAAAGAGCTATTCAGACCACAGCCACTCACAAACAGGGCAATAATGTTTCTGGTTCAAATGGATCTRAAGTTGCTGACAGATCCAAGAACCTGCCTGTGGTTTTGACCTCTCTTTGGTCACCTCTAGGAGCTGCTCGTACCCTAAGAGAACTGGAGCCTGTGTGCCTCGGAGAAGGGGAAGAAATGCTAGAATGTGAAGTACAAGAAAGTCAAATTAGGGTTTCCCCACTGTGCCAACAGCCACATCAGGAGAGGAAAGGTTAGAGACAAAACTGCACTCAAAAGGCAGATCAATGAAAAATAAAGGGTGGGATGGTTTAACAGGCATTTATCTTTAACTTGCTTAAAGACAGTTTGTCTCATGTTCTACCACTTCCATGACAACATGCTGCAAGCCCTGTAAAACACCAAACTAAAGCCTCCCTACAATCTCAGGCAGCAGGATAGGGACAAAGCTGATGAAGTAAAATTGCTTAGCTTTATCCCCAGAACTTGGACCAAACATTTAAAAAAAATGCTGAAGGTAGTCCTAATGCAATATTTACTGAAAATTCTCCCTCTGTTGTCACTGGGGGAGCCTACACGTGCCAAGTGAGATGTCTCTGTGAGTTGAGGCACCAGGCAAGAACAGCCCATGGTGATGGGGAAACAGGACCTCAAACACCTGAGTTCCACTCTGGGAGACAGATCACAGCCTTAAGACAGAGRAGAACCTGCCTAAAATCACCAAGTGTCTGTTGGCCACTTCCAGGAAGAGGCCTACAGAATCTTTT